TTGAAATTTAAATAAGTTCTCATCAAAAAACTTAAAATTAAGACATTTATAACAAACATTTTATGAAGAAAATTCCTTCTTCGTTTAAAATAAAAATAAGCGAAATCGGCCCAATTTCATACAACCCTGCCTGACATGAAAATTTTTTAATAGATTTTGGGTCGTTTAGTCAAAAATGGAAACATGTATACATATTTGAAATTTAAGAAAACAAGGCAAAAGCAAAATCGGCTAAAAACGGCTGACAAATCGGCTGCCGGCTAAATCGAAATTTCTCCGGCTGGTTGCTATCGCAACCGGCTAAATCTAGCCGGAAAAGGGCTAAAATGGCAACACTGATTGGCGGGATGAGCTCTCTGATAAAAAAAAACTTTCAGGTAAAAGTGTCACCGTTTTTGAGTTATTTAAATTTTTTTGAATTAAAAAAAGTCGTGCCTTTTCATGTATTTTCTTTAACTGCATCTGCAAACCAGGCTATGCTTAGTAAATTTTTTATGTAAAATACTTCCATATAGTTGCGTTTCCATACTCAAATGTAATGTAGTTAAAATATATTAAGGAACCATCATAAAATTAGGACTATTTTGGGATTTTTAACTTTTTGATATTTTCTTCCCCAACTTTGAACTTTTCTGGCGAAAAAAAAATGTACTGAGCTATCATGATTCAATAATAAAAGGTTTGCTCAAAAAACAGTTTTCTCGCTCCCTCATGGCAAAATCGGCTCCGTTAGCAAGGCACTGTGTGTGTCAAGGCGAATTAATATCAGGTGATAGCAGGAGTACAAAAACAAAAATTTACATGTATTTTGTTTTTGCCTTTGCGGCATAAACTATCAAAATCTGTAAGAGTGTGTGTAGAAATTCAAACAAATTTTTTCAACTTGATATCAGAAGCCGTGCGGCGAAACACATACACAAAATCAGCTGAGCTAGTAACACCACCTTATATAAATTCGCCTTGGTGTGTGTGCAAAGCTTTTGTAAGGGAGTTAAGGGAGTGTCAAAACTCTAATGTCAATAATGAGCAAATCTTTAATTATTGAATCATGCTGAGCTATAACTTTACATTATATAAAAAAATTTCTCATTTAATAAAGATTTCAAAAAGGTGCCACTCTTACTGTTTCGGATAGAAAAAGAGTTATATCCGCTTTTGTGGGTAAAGGACTGAGACACGCTAGAATGTATTTACTAGATTAAATTTAAGTTGCATTTGTTACCGACCAATGACATGCTAAATATTACAAAGGTGACATTATTTTATGTTACTTACCGGAATTAGTGAAAGTGGATTTTGTGAAATTGGACCCTTCGAACATTGACATATGACAGAGAACACACAGTATACGTCGCATGAATATGCGGATATTCACCTAATTTACGGTGCAGCTTGCTATAATGCCAGAGCTGCTCAAAGACTCTATGCAGAGCGATACCCCAATCGTCGGCAACCGGGTCGTGAAGTATTCGCCCGGAGCCATAAAGAAATATATGAAGGTAAGTGATTTTTACACCTTTATTGTTTGCTTGCTTGTTAACTATCATTTTTCACTTTTTAAGGTCGCATACCTGGAAGGCGTGGCGGCGAAACAGGACGTCCTGCAACGGTAGATGTTGAAGTTGTGTTAGAGGAAGTGGAACTAGGCCCATCGACTTCAGTGAGAATGATGGAAAGACGGACGGGAATATTTAAGATTACAGCTCACAAAGCTTTAGAAGACCATCGATTTCATCCCTACCACATTCAGCGTGTTCAGGCTCTACAGGAAAGAGATTACCTGTCGAGGGTTAGATTTTGCCGTGAAATATTGCGAATGCATGAATCAGACCCCAACTTTTTTAATAAAATAATTTGGAGCGATGAATCATCATGCAAACGGGATGGTTATTTTAATTTACATAACCTTCACAGTTGGCAGATAGAAAATCCTCTTGAAATGAGAGATCGTTCGCAGTACCGGTACAAAATAAATTTATGGTGCAGTATTTTTAATTGTCAGATATTGGGACCTGTGGAACTGCCGCCAACGCTCAACTCTCACAGTTATCTAGAGTTCCTTCAGGAACGGCTTCCAACTCTTTTAGATGTACCCTTAAACCTGCGGCGAAGACAATGGCTGCAAAATGACGGGCGCCCTGCTCACTACGGGCGTGAAGTAAGAGCTCAATTAGACGAAACTTATCCTCGCCGATGGATTGGACGATACGGGCCAATCACGTGGCCCGCTCGATCGCCAGACCTGAATCCATTCGATTTTTTCAACTGGGGCTGTCTTAAGGATAAAATTTATTCAAAAACAATTCAAAACGAAGAGCCTTTACGGGAACAAATAAATGGAGCTGCTTCTGAGTTAGCCCAATTGAGTTTAAGATCTCTTAAAGCGTCTTTTCTTAAAAGGTGCCGAGCTTGTATTAGAGTAGAAGGTTGCCAATTTGAGCATATTTTATCAATAAATGAATAAATTTTTCTTCCAACAACTCATGTATATTTTATTTCACGTGAACCCATCCTTCACAAAAAATGTTGATAGATATAGCCCTTGTTATAGACTCTAGTCCGAATTCCGGTAAGTAACATAAAATAATGTCAGGAGCAGGTAATAATGTACCTCTGTAATATTTAGCATGTCATTGATCGGTAACGAGAGCAACTTAAATTTAAATCTATTAAATACATTCTAGCGCGTCTCAGTCCTTTATTTTTCTACTCGAAACAGTAAGAGTGGCACCTTTCTGAAATCTTTATTAAATTAGCAATTTTTTTATGTAATGTAAAGTTATACCTCAGTACATTTTTTTTCACCAGAGATAGTCAAAGTTGGGGAAGAAAATATCAAAAAGTTAAAAATCCCAAAATAGTCCTAATTTTATGATGGGTCCTTAATATATTTTAACTACATTGCATTTGAGTATGGAGAAGCAACTATCTGGAAGTATTTTACATAAAAAATTTACTAAGTATAGCTTGGTTTGTAGATGCAGTTAAAGAAAATACATGAAAAGGCACGATTTTTTTTAAATAAAAAAAAAATGTAAATATTTCAAAAACGGTGACACTTTTACCTGAAATTTTTTTGTTTATCAGAGAGCTCACCCCCCACCTACCTTCCCCTAAAGTTTGGAACGTTACTTCTGGGACACCCTGTATAAAAGGCACCATCCTAAGATAAAGCGTGAGTGAATTTAACCCTTACTTGGCTTATTATATCTTTTAATAACTAATCTTTATATATGGACCACACTAAAGGCTCCTTTTCATATAATAATTTGTACGTGTCCTTCCCGTGACAAACGTTGGCCCAACCGTGACAGAGGAATTTCGGATTTTTTGTATAATAAAGCCATAATTTTTTTGTAGTTTTTGCTTTGTTTTTGCCCCTGGTCCTATGTTTTATTATAAGACATCAAGTTCACACAGAAAAGTGAAATAAATTCGCAGAGTTTAAGTAAAATATATCTGCTCCAAAAAAGCAGGTTCTTTTTTTGTCCCACCCGTAACAGAAAAAATAAATCAGATTTTTCCCATATAAAAGTAAGCTGGAATTTTTTTTCGTATTTTGTAATAACTCTTATAATAGTCAATTAGGTGTAGCTTTATCAAAGTTTAGAATTGTTCTGTTCTTTATACTTAAATCTAAACAAGAAAATTTTTTCTGTACCCGTGACGGTGGAATCGGCCTAATGTAAAAAAAAAATATTTTTTAAAAACAAGCTTTTATTTAACATGTACAATCAAATGAATAAAATAAAGTAGTGTAAAAAAAGATATTTTAGCAAGAAAATTTTGTTAAAACCGCACTAAAACGAATAAAATAAAATAAGTTAAGCTTTCGTTAAAGTTACTTTAGCCAAATAGTGAGGGGGTTGCTCAAACTCTAGTGAAAATTACTAACAATTTATACTGATTTACTACGTTCTTAAACTTGTCGGCGAATTCAGCGTGCATGCATAATTGGTTAGGTATATGTATGCATGCAGCAGATATGTAAATGCCGGTTCGCTATTCGCGCGACCATCAAACGCTCATAGATTTCATCACTGTCAAACTCTTGAAAGCATCACATTTTTTTTAATGTATATGACGAATTTATTTTAATTTTAGAAGCATGTTAGTTGAAGTACTCAATAATTAATAGAAATAATATACAACGGTATTGGATTTATGCTTACGTGTTTTGAAATCTAAAATAAGCAAAATACAATGGGGCATAATCAAAGTCCTCAGTTAGAGCCAACTTTAGTTACGAGTAACTAAACAGTTAGAGCCAACTTGGTTTTCATATATATCATGGTTAGTTTAGTACTGCATATGTTCTATCTAAAGCCGGCTTTAACACAAAATTATATTAAAAGTAATAGATTAGCTATTTTATGTCATCGTGCAACACTGTTATTTGAGTTTGTTTCGGTTATTTTAATTTTAACGTAATTTTAAAGATCAGAATCATGAAATAGTCATTAGTGGAAGGTATATCTACAATTAAATTTCCCCTCTTTGGATATTCTTAGTAATTCTTTCTCCTATGAAAACCAGAAATAATACACAAAATCTCGTTAAATCAATACGAACAATGAAATACCATTATATTTATCAGATTTAGTGCTAGCGTTGGTAACAGCTTTCGTTGCTCTAACTTTAGAATCGACTCTAAGCGAAAAAGCAGGCGCTAACACAACTATGATATAAGAAATGTATAGATAGAGCCTACTTTTTCTTGACTATGATTATGCGTCAAAACATTAATGACTGTTTATAGCTTGCATTATGTTGTCAGTGCAAGCCAACTTAAGTGCATTTAAAATCTTATTTAAGTTAGATTCATTATAGTTCTTGTGTTGCAGACTGGATACCACTGGCAGACGTTCATTATTTGGCATCGTAATGGTTACGCCATTGATAATACCCTACGATTGAAAGAAATATATTAAAATATAGCTAAAAGCATGATAAAAACATAACGAGGTAAAACCATTGATTTAAGAATTCAAAACTCAAACTCACACACACATTTCGATTTTCAATCTCAAACAAAAACAATTGCGAACAATTTAATGTTTTTATTCTCAATTTTATATGATTTTTAAATGCTGGCAAACGTCAGAAAATCATGGCCGACGAATGGAGAGAATGAATTTACCTTGTAATGTTTTTATCATGGCTAAAAGTATCTACAATTTTCATACCTTTTCCACTGCAATATTTAGAATTATTTTGTGCTCTTTATCACTATCTTTCAGAATTAATTCCTTTTTAACTGTAAATTTAGGAGTTCTTCCATAATTCCATTCCCAAGAACTGAACTCTGTCCTTAAGTTGTCGATTCCTGGAAACCATTTTTCCGTCGGATTGATAAGTTGAAAGCCCAATTGTTTCATAATCTGCTGATTGCCGCCATCTTCCAACTCTGTAGCAAAAGTTCTCAGATATTCATAACCAACTGCAGCTATCAATTGCGAAATATTGACATTCCGATTTATTTCACATAAATTTTTAATGGGTGAACGTACAGAAAGTGTAGAGTTGCTGATGTAACTGACCTGCAATGAAAGATAAATATAAATACATATTTATGTATGTATAAATGTATACAGGACCAGGAACTATTTGAGATTTTTGGAGTTTTACAGAAAAATAATAAACCTTTTTTATTTCCGTGCTGTTCTACCAATAAATCTTTTTTACAAGCTTTTATTTTACTTGCTATGTATGTATATACACCCCCGACAAAGCCATATCACCTCCACATTTTGAACGGTTTTGACCATGAAACAAAAATAGAAGGTAGTTTCATTTATTGACATTCGTTGTTGTTGCTGACCACTTGACTTTAACAAGTTTATGATATTTAACTAAAATCATGCTACCAGACTCACTAGCAGCAAAATTTTTGTTTCTTGAAAAATTAAAAAAAAAATTGAAGTCAGTAAATTTGTTTTTTGTTATTTTTATGGCGTTATAACAATTATATTCAACAATTTTTATGAGCTCGAGGCCGTTTTCAGTGAAAACTTATTGTGGAACAGCAACAATAATTTGAAAAAATGGTAGAAGTGATAGCTATTTCGGAAATCACCACATTTCCTCATCAGACTTCTTTCAGTAGGATTCGAACCGACGATCACCACTGACTCAGCCAGTTGCCTACGCACTGTGCTAAGTTTGTCTTGTTAATTCTTGTTGCTTATTTTCCACTATTTCACTTTGCTAAGCCAACTACAATCAAGCGCAGCTATTCCGCTGCAATTCACTTGATCATGTGGTTGTTGGTTTTGTTGGTTTTTGTTAATATTTCTATTATTAGAATGTTTAACTTTTTAGGTGTGCTCGTCCTTAAGTTATTTGTTTTTTGTTGTAGTTGACTTAGCAAAGTGAAATAGTGGAAAATAAGCAACAAGAATTAACAAGACAAACTTAGCACAGTGCGTAGGCAACTGGCTGAGTCAGTGGTGATCGTCGGTTCGAATACTACTGAAAGAAGTCTGATGAGGAAATGTGGTGATTTCCGAAATACCTATCACTTCTACCATTTTTTTCAAATTATTGTTGCTTTTCCACAATAAGTTTTCACTGAAAACGGCCTCGAGCTCATACAAATTGTTGAATATAGTCAGTGAATTTGGATAAAAATATCAAAGAAAATTCTTGCGCGTTTACAAACTGCAAGAATTCGGTACAGGGCACATAGGGGTATTTGGCCGATTTAGGCGGCCAAAATTATTTTTATGAAATTTTTATTTCAAAATGTTTAGAAAAGACGTATTACGATGTCTAAAATCGTAAATGTTTAAAATCAAGTAAATATAGGTGGAGGACGTACAATTATTCCTCCAAAGCAACAAAAATAAAGTTGGTTAAAGTTTGACACCGATAGACTCTATGGTTGCCGTGGTCCGATTGTAGAAACACGCATACCTACATACGTGTTCGTCTCGGCGATGTTTGTATATAGGTTAGTACATGCAAAGAATTGCCACCTGGTAAAAACTTAAATATAGTAAAGTTAACCGAATTACTACAATATGGGTATCAATTGAAATGGTTTTGAAAGGCTTCATTTCAGGCAGGGTTACCACCTGTTTAAAAATGAAATTCAACTTTAACTAAGGGAATAACAGACAAATTTTTTTTTTATAATGTTGCTAAAATTTGTTTTTATTGTTAAAATGCGTATAGACTTCCTTGAGCTATAAGTTACAAAAAAAATTATGGAAATAACCAATTTTATCTTGTAATGCAATGCATAATACATGTGTAATTGAATTCAAAAACAAAATTTGTGTAAAAAACTATTTTAGGATGATGATGAGTGCCAAGATTCTTCATCGGACCCTTCATCCTGTTCTGAAGACTCTCCAGACTTCGTGTCATCCTTAGTTGGTTCAGCTGGAAGCAACATATCGATTTCTTCCTTTGAAAAGGGTTTGGTTGCTTTTTTGGCTTTGGCCTGAAACTACTAATGAGTGGATCAGAGCTTAGGAGTAACCTGTTCAACACGACGAGATCGCGGCTGTTGAATACCTTTGGGAATTGAAAATGTTCCTTGTAGCCATGTTACGTTACTTTTAAAAAAAAAAAACTTCTTCTTTCCCACGGGCTTTTATCCACCTTTGTATAAACTGTGCTTTTAGTTGTGAAAATTTGTGCTTTATATCTCTTATTTGTTCATCGGAAAAGGTGTCGGATGATAATATATCATTTTGAAGAAACTTTATTTTGTTCTCAAAATTCATAGAATTTTGTCGATGCATCTTATCGAATAAATATTTTCGAGTTACTACTCTATAGCAGGAACCAGTTGATGACTCTAAAGCAAAGGAAATACTTAAAAATTACAAAATATGTATGGAAACGAAATTTTTTTTTTAGATCTATCTTAATTATTGGTCATAAAAAGCTCATCGGTAGCTATCGGAAGCTAATTTTTGTCCAGTATACTATCAAAGCTCCATTCTATAGAACGCAACTAGTAATGTAACGTGGAAATGCTTACGGTTTACAAAGTAATGAAAAAATAATCAATAATAATAATATTTCCGATTACTGATATTATTACTTAGATTAAATTTTGCTAAATCGAAACTATTTAAAATAAATGTAGATTTACCGGTATCTTCAGACTTCATAACAATTTTTAATTGTATAATGACCACAATAATAATAATCACCTTTGAACGCAACTGTTTCACAATGAATGTCATAAAATAAAACGTGCACTATGACAAACTGACAAGTTGTGACTGAGATACTCCGTCAAAGCGGCGTCGGGGTAGGTGTTGCCTATTGTTCCGCAACTATTCAACTGTGGCAGGTAGTATTTTTTTTTTGTTCCTACGATAAGTTTAAAAAAATAGACTTATGACCGCCTAGATCGATCAAATACCCCTATGTGCACGGGTGGGAAGGTTCGAGAATAAAGTTTCTTGCTTTTCCGAGGGTAGAGTACGTAATACGATCCAATGCAGTTTGATGATAAATTGCTGATGCAAAATATTTTTAAACCTCTGAAGGACGTACCGTTATCCGTGGAGGAGGTCGAGTTAAAATGATGGAACTTGTAACAGTACCAATTTGTGGGTTCTCGGAATTTTCTGATAAAGATGTGGCGCTGCTAAAAAATATATATACATAAATATAACCACGAAACTATGTATTTTTGAAAAGAATTATCCACATAAGATGAAAACTACTGCATTTTCATTTTATACAATTTTTGTTTATAGAAAAATGCATAAGTAAGACAGTTCGGGTACGGTTCGGTTATTTGTACAATGCTTTTGGATTATCGTGTCCAAACGCGTGACCCGAATTAAAAAAGTTTAACATCTACGTCTAGCTAAAGGACTAAGCTTTAATTTAAAACAATTATTTCAGTTTCAAATATGCACTTTTTTTTGTAAATGTGGAGGTGGATTTCGCGCAAAAATACTGTGCATGGCGTAACCAGAGTTGGACTGATGAGGTTATTTTTTCGAGCGCGGCCGAAGGCCATCTATGTGGAAAGGAGTTTTTCGCAAAAAAAACACTGCTGATGGCCTAGCACGAGTTTAATTTTTCTTTGCAAAAATGATAATTTCACCCCATTTTGAAAGGGCTCACCGAGTGTCTTCTTGGCGTTCATTGTGGCATTCCTTTTGCGTGTGGCGCTTTGCTGGCAATGTTATAAATGTCATGCAAAGCCACAAAGTTTTATCTAACATCAGCTTTAAATTTTAATGAGTGTAATTTTAGGTGGCACACCCCTTTCTCCCTCCGCTCCCAACAAAACCATCATTGTACAAATAACCGAATATTTCCCACGCACAACATTAAATCCTCTGATGTATTATTTGATTGCCATAAATGTGGTAAAGTAGCTCACAATTTTGTACAATTTATGAAACTTCAAAAACTTATTTTTTGTCAAAAATTTTGAAATGAAACTACATTTTTTTTGTATCATGGTTTTGACCACAGTATACAGTAATCCAGATAGGCAAAACAAAAAATGTAAATATGCTTATTTGACAATTTATTTGAATGTATTGGTTGATATTTTTTCACTCCTGTCGTTTTCTTTAACCCAAATGAAATCCAATTTCAATATTTTCTTATAGTGGCAAATATTTCCAAGTCACTTTAAATAAAACAACGAGAAAAACAAAATTCCCAGCAAATCAGGCTTGCGGCGTAAGCGATTATAACCGGATGCAGTTCCTACATAAGTCATATCTGGTTCCAAACACAACTTTGAGTCAATAATGGTGGGCTGATTTTGGAAAATGGACCCATAAATTAGGGAGTAAAACAAGTATTACTTAGCTTAAAGGTAGAACTCTCTAATTTAAAAATATACCACTGTTATAGTGGAGATCTCCAAAGTTTTTATGAAACATGTACCCAAAGTTATATATCGACGCTCGAACTAATGCAGGAAAGGTTTATGCAGATAAGCAAGGCCGTTTTTCAACGGTATAAAATGTATATACACATATTATTACATACATATTTATCAAAATATTCAGAATGACTAAATGAAATGAATTGGTATCTGTTTGTAAACACGCTAACTCGAACAAAATTTAGATATTTTAACGAAAGTCGGTGCCGAAGTTGCCTTTGGTATAATTTAGGATAGTATTAAATTTTGGTGAAATCTGTCTATAACCACGACCATCAACAATATTTTTGTTTTATTATTTTTTGTTTACGAATGTCGGTGTTAAAATTTACATTTCAAATATATCAACAAACATTTGGGGGTACTTTTGCACCAGTCATTGCCTATGGGTTAATGACAAAATAATCCTATACATGCACAATATTTCATGTATTAATTTTCAAATAAGCATATTGTCAATGGCTGGTTTACTGTATACTGTGGTTTTGACCAAGGCGAATTAATATAAGGTGATAGCAGGAGTACAAAAACAAAAATTTACATGTATTTTGTTTTTTCTTTGGCGGCATAAACTGTCAAAATCTGTAAGAGTGTGTGTAGAAATTCAAACAAAATTTTTTCAATTTGATATCAGAAGCCGTGCGGCGAAACACATACACA